TGGCGGTGTGGGCTTTTGTGGCTTCAGGCTCGGGGGAAGCACATGCTTCCTTTCCCGTTCCTTGCACAGCCACGTCTGGACATGGGGTGTTTCTTGAGTCCTCCCACAGAGGAGGATTCCTTGTCAGGATCCAGCCGTCAGTGGGTCTCTGAGCAGCCCCTGTCCTTGTCTTTCTTCATCGACGTGGGGCCCTGGAAGCCCAGAGCCAGCCAGGGCCCCCGGGCTCGTGAGGAGTTCCCGCCTCCGTCCTTGCTCTCCCAGAGTCCCGTGATCCGCCACGACTTAGACTGTGCGCCGGAGCCAGAACTTCGGGCTGCGTTCCCAGCAAAGTGTGCAGTCACACCTCCGTGAGCAGGGCTCGCTACGAAGCGACGACAAACCCTGGAAAGAAAGAGCAACAACAGAAGTGTTCAAGTGTTTCCTCCAGGCGTTTACACCTTCCGTTCCAGGAGGGGAGTTCCCGCACACGAGCTTCTCCTGCCGAGAACGGTGCTCGTGGGGGTCGCTGTAGAAGGGTCACGCAGAAATAAAGTCATCCGTGTTCTTAAAGCCGCTCACAGGTAGCATGCCGGGAACGCGGCTCTCAAACCTCGGTCAGCGAGCTCCTTCTGGAACTGTGAAAATCCGCGCAGGTCTGCAGAGTAAGAAGCTGGTGCGTGCCTGCCCGCGTCCATGTCCAGGGTGGGGTGGACGGTCAGGGAGAGTGTAAGAGCCAGGACGTCAGAAAGTGGCACTGTCAGGACCAGTAGATGCTGTAGTGGTTACACTGCTGGACTCCCACGTAGCTGAATGCAATTCAAGTCCCGGCGACGGCAGCTTAAAACACTCGCCAGGCACGTGTGCGTGCGTGCCCAAAACCCAGAGTGAAGAATGGAGGAGAAGGGACTGTGGTGTGGCCATCCCCCGAGGGGGGGTGACTTCTCACTTTCTGTCTCTCTCTCCCTCTCTCTGCTGAGTACATGCACCCTATAGCAAAAATCCATCTTAAATAAAGAAGAAAAAGAAAGAAAGAGAGAGGCACTTTGACCATGGACAAACAAAAACCGTCACATCCATCACATTGGGGCCATGGCATGGTGGTTCATGTGGCTGGACCCCACATGGCTGATCTTAGAGTTCAAGTCCTGGACTGACCCTATGGCTTGAAAAACACACAGGGCATGTGTGTGTGTGCCCAAATCCCAACAGAAGGGAGGGATGGCAGAGAAGGGATTGTGGTGTGACCACGCTCCCGGGTGGGATGGGGGTTGTCTTGCTTTCCTTCTCCCTCTGTCCGTCTCTCCTGGTAAATGTAATGCCCCAGCAGGATTTTTAAAAAGGAAAGAAAGAAAGAGAACAAAAAGAGAAAAGCTGTGATGTCTGAAAAGCAAATGCGTGATTAGATCTATGCTGGCACCAGTGTAAAAGATTTGTGTAAGCGTGGGCCTGAAGGCGGCCACCACCCACCCACTGACACGGCCACGCTGGTCGCAGCGCTGGCAAATGTGAGCATAAAGACGTGGTGGGGCCCGCGCGCTCGCCGTGTCCCGCAGCTGCAGCCCCGTGGGACTCCGGGGGACAGGCTGGCATGTCTTTTTCTTTTTTTAAAGATATTTTTGCTATAGGGCACTCGCACTTGCCAGAGAGACAAAAAGTGAAAAATCACCCTCAGGGGGGCTGGCCACACTGCAGTCCCTTCTCCTCCATTCTCCTCTAGGGATCTTGGGCATGCATGCACATGTACCTGGCATGAGTTTTAAGCCACTGGGCCCAGGCCTTGAACCTGGTTGACTGTGTGGGAGTCCAGCAATGTAACCATTACGCCATCTGCTGGTCCCACGGCTGGCGTTGCTCAGAGCATTAGGTACACTCTAGCCCCGTGTTTAGAATTAGTGCTTTCTGGGCGTCACCCACAGGGCTTGCGGACGGTGTCGTCTAGGGCGTCACCCACAGGGCTTGCGGACGGTGTCCGTGCCCGGACCTGCTCACAGGTGCTCACCACGGCTCTGTTTGTGGTGGCCAGATGGGGAGACAGCCATGACGGCTCGAGCAGGGGGCCGGATAGACCAGCCTTGGCACAAACGCGCTCTGAGCCGCAGAAAGCACCACACTTCGGGCACATGCTGAGTGAGGGACAGCAGGTCAGTGCCACATGTCCACAGTCTGTTACGGAGGCCCGTGCACACTGA